ATTCCGAAGCACCAGAAACAGCCACGTAGGCTCAGCGCATTCTGTAATTATATATAAGGAGGATTTGAATAAAAATATAAATTGATTGTGAGTTTTATCGAGAGAGTATCTCGTTTTACGTGTTTTACGAGAGAGTATCTCATTTACTCGTTTATCCTTCCCACTCGTACGCTTTCCCTACATCAGTTACCTTGTTTCCCAAGGCTGCCCGACTGGGCTGCTCGTTTAACCGAGCTACCCATTCGTCTTGCCCGGGTGGCCAAACGGCCAATTTCTGTTAGATCACGTGGTCTTATCCACGTGTGGTTCTTATCTTAATAATATTTTTTCTTATCTATTATGTAGCGTACTCACATTAGACTATCTCATTAGGCGGTTTAATTGTGTGACCAGCTCAGCTTCCATTAAACCATGTTGCTTCGACTTTCGACGTATAAGTTTTATCTCTTACTTCACGCTATCGACTAGTTTACATATCTCCAGATCGAGTTTATATCAGGCTAGCCGAGATCCCTAACTCAACCTGTTAGTGAGATTCCTTATCTGTGAGGTTATCCTGGACATGGTGTTAATTATTCAACGACCTCCTATGTCCTTGATGTCCGATCGACTTGTCGGTTCACCCGGTCCAGTCTGACCGCTCGGTCTAGTCTGACCGCTCCTTGGGTTGTACTCAACCTGTTATGATATCCCATATCAACCTGATTTTTTTTATTTTTTTTTTAGTTATGGTTAAAAATAATAATTAAAGAATTTTGTTAACTTTGTTTTTGTTTATGCTTTCCGTTACTTTTCCTCCTTTTAAGCTTTGGCATATGTTTATCTGGGATGTGCCAATTTCTGACAAATTGATACACACACGCAATTAGAATAATTTGTTAAGTACTTAATTTAAGTGGGACTATTTTATATTTATTTATTTTTCCTTTTTTGGTAAAAGCGTGTTTGACACTTCAGCGTTCCAACCTTGAAATACAAACAGTAAAATACTAAAATAAAAATTTAATAGAAGATTCAACTAATAATATAGTGTTAGAGTTTTCTTTAGAAAAAAATCCAATGAATATTTAATATATATCAAAACTCAAATATTCCAATTGAGCTACTTATATTTGAATTTTCATTGTTATATCCAATGAGTACACTCCTTAAAATGAGTACACTCCTTAAAATGAGTCCACTT